TCATCACCTTCAGCTTCCATGGCGCGGAAGGATATGGACGGCAATCTATCGTCCCCCTTCTCGGTTTTGACTCTAGGCAATTCCGCTTGGATCAAGCGTTCAAGGTAAGACAGCGGTTGTTGTGGGTGGACAAGAAGCGCAAGGGGAGCGATGTTTTTCCTGTCGTCATTGTGGTCGGATGTTGTCAAGGGTAGAACAAGCTTGAGCAGTCGTGAAGGCGTGGTGAGCAGCTTCCCTACGGATCTAATCAGTAAGAAGGCCGGGGCCAGATGCTAGAGATCTACCGACCTTTGGTCATGGCGCCAGCAGAGCGTTGTCTCCGTACAGGAGGCTCTTCCGCTCCTTGACGGTGCCATGGTGTACGCTGCTGCTTTTCTCCATCGTTGGCCAAAGCATTGTCGAATTCCGCGAGGGCATCATCGACTCCCTGCTGATTGAGATCTTTCGCCTTTTGTTCGTGAGAGACACTTCTGCAGCCGAATGGTGTGAAGGAAGACGTGCCCAAGGAAGGTGTCGTACGGACACTGAGATATGAACCTCGATCAAGAACAGGAGGTCGAAGACTGAGCGCTCGGTGGACATGGGTCAATGGTTTAACCGACCCGAGTCGCCCAAGCGTCAACGCGACCCGCATGGTTCGGTGGCGTCTCTCGCGAGGCTATAAAGTCCCTCGAAGTAGCACTGGCATTGTGTCGGACCTGGTGGTACTCTCCAGTTGTTCTTGCACAGACTACAACGCGTGGGGATGTTGTTTGTGAGGAGGAAACAAGGGCAAACGCAGGTTTCACGCATTTCAAGGATTCAGCATCACCTGGTGGCATGGTGATCAACAAAACGACGTCATGGGCTTGTTGAAGCTTCCAGCCACTGTGGCCAGGGCCGGAACAGTTCTGCCCCAATCATCTCTTCCAGGCACCTCGGTACCAACTTTGGAGGCTGGTGGTCTTTTAGAGGCCGTTTGGGGGTGGCTGAGGCCTGGGCATCCCCGATAAGGATCTACATTCCCCGTATCTGGAGAAGGTCGTGAACTTTGGGCATATGGCGAACTTGCCAGCGACGTGCAATAATATGCGATGCTGTATCTTCTTGATTCATCTAGAAGAAGTCTTAATATCGGTAGGTTTTTGCATTGTGATGTCTTCATAGGTCTTCATGCACCCACCTCACCTGTCCAGCTGTTTGCAGTCACCCATTGCCCGCAGGACATCTTATGGGGGACCCTTCTCAAGCTGTTGTTCTATGCCACCTTTTCCTTGGTCGCCATTGTCTCGTTTCTTTTCAATCAGCCCACGTTGATATGACATTCACCGAGATTGCCTTCAATCGCTGAAATCCTATCGATAAGAACTTTTCGGCAAATAAAGCATGCGGGATCGGTTGGCCAACGACCGAGTCGGGAGGTAGTGTCTGAGGGACTTTGACAAGGTCATCTCTCCGTTCTGGATTGATGCACATGTGTCGAGTGATTGTTCAGAAGCAACGCCGGAACATCACGGAGTGGGTCACGAGGGAAGGAAGAATACTGTACGGTCAATACAAAAATACGAAATGGCTAGCCACATATATGAGTTGAGTGAATATGGCGGTGAGCTGGATATCTGGATGTCTTGCATCTGGTTTTCTGCACGATATTATACTCACTGACCACCATGGCGGCAGCGTGGTTCGCTAGGCTGCCCTTGTCTAACCTACTGGTCCCGTTTCCAGCATTCCACCATGCCACCATGCCTGGTTGGCTCTCTGCCATGTTTGATCTCCGACATTCTCCTCCTCCTTTTCTTTCCGCTACTCCTCAATCTGCTGCACCTCCCAATGACCTCACAACCAAGCTCTTTCTGGTCGTCCAACCGGGAACAGACCGGAATAAAGGTACCTGAGAGTGGACCAAATCCAGCCTTTACAAGACAGTCAACATGGGGGAAAAAGTGTCATGATATTTTTGCTGTTCTCTAAAAAACTTTCTAGCATGAAGAGCGTTCACACATCCTTCCGGGCAAAAGACTTTGGTCGATTGAGACCTCTCTCAAAAGCTCACCACCTGCTCTTCAAGCCGCCATGCTTCAAAGGGAGGGATAACAAGATCAAAAGGCTCACAGAACCACACAGTTGCCTGCAAAATTCTTTATCTAACCACGGGCCAACCGTCACAGGAGAATGCGTAGTCGTGTCATCGTGAATCATGGAAAAGGAAAGCTTTGGCCCCTCCCTCAAACAGAAAAGGTCATGTTTTCGTCAAGTCGTTAGGTTCGTGCACAAACATCTGGAACAAGCCGGTTTTGCAAGACATTACCCGCCCGGAGACAAGGGCACGGTGAACTTTTTTCCAGGGCCGTCCGCTGAAGCTTAGTAGCGTGGCAGGGCTCGTCTGCTGTATTGGCCAGCGTCCGACGAGTAGACAACTCGGCGAGATGGAGACGTGCGCATCGGGCTCGAGAGGCGAGACTCGCCCCAATCAGGGCTGCTTCCTCCGCTTCGGCTTCCAGCGCTGTCAGAATCGCCATAACGGCACTCCATTCGAGCGGTGTCGGCTCCGCCCCTGCGGCTATGACGACCAGAGCCAACAGGCACTGGATTGCCCTGTATCACGCCCCCATGGGCAAATCCAGTCGGATACATGCCGTCATTGGCAGAGAAGTTGCGGCAGATGTTGAAGGCGATCAAAGCGGCATTTTCTTTGGCCGAGCTCTCCGACGAATGATACGTAGGAGTTTGGTATTCACGGTTGTTGACTCGAACAACACATCGATACCCAGAGGGACTATAGGATGTTTGGTAAGCAGGCTCGGGCCATCGCCGGCGCTGACATAGACCTGAGGAGGAGGGCGTCAGCGTCTGAGAACGGCAGAGAGAAAGAAAGAGATGGAGCTTTCAAGCTGTCCGGAATCGACGAACAAAAAACTCCCGGAGACCTTCCCCGGCTGTTCGTTTGGGCACATCTGCAAGGCTGGCCGACCCCTGAGCGACCAATATAGTGCGGAGAGTAAACATGGAGAGGCCAACATGATGTCGACACTTTAAGCCAGGAACAAAATGGGCAGGCCAGGTATCGAAACCAAAACCGAAAGAACGAGGTGCTGAATGAGACATACTGGCCAGGTAGACGGTGTGTAGCATGTCTGCTTCAATTTGAGGTTGCTTTCAGCGTCTTGGAAGCCCAATGGACCGTGCATCCAGTTGTTGAACAAGAATGAAGAGAGGAGAAAACCACCAAACAAGGTCAAGATGTTGACAACAAACGAGCACTTGTCAACCAGTATCACCGCTCACAAGATGTCGCCTGGCTTGAAGGCAAGGCGGATTTCGTAGGGCAAATGTAGTCAGGTAGCAGCAAATTTGAGGGCATCGACATTGCTGGGCCCTTTTACAGGTGAACTGTGGCGGCATTCCCACATATTTCATGCTCTGGATAACAGGAGAACCCTGCACTGACAGCAAAGCAAGCGCGAAGACAGCGGCACTTGCGTGGGGCATGCAGAAAGATTCCACAGTGGCCAAACGGTTTTGAGTGAGCGGCTGGGTATTGGTCCATCTCGGGAGGATAGCATTTTTCATGCTCTTCTGCCATCGTAATGTGTTGATGTGTTGGCACTCTCTGCAGCCAGTTAACGGAAGCTTGAAGTCGGGCCCATTCTTAGCATGATTCCTCTTTGTTGGGGCTTGTGCAGATCGAGATTGATTGGCGACAAGCTGCCTTGAAGATTCCCCGCGCATCCCGTCGAATGAGAAAGTTGCCCATGTACCAGAGCTACTCGTGGCCTGTCATGGTCCTTTTCGGCTCTGACTTGCGCTTGATTCTCCGCTTATATGCGCGACCGGTGAGGCTTGCAGAGAGACATGTTTTTTTGGGAACCGACCTGGACCCGGGAGGGGGCAGATCTTCTGCTCTGGGTCTCGAGCAAAGATCTCCTATTGACGCAATCAGCGTTATGCAGAGACAGCTGGCAGGTGGGGAATGGTGTTCTGACGATGCAGGGCCTTAATCTCGGCTGGGTGGTTTGCCCGTCGTACTAAAGACCACAAGAAATCCTCAATGAAACTTTCAGAGAAGGTGAGTACATATACCTCTTTGATAGGCAGGTTAGCCGCCAACAGGGAGAGGAAAAGACATACAAGTACAAGAAGTAGGGGAAAATATGCCTCAGTGCTAAGGCGTTGAAACTTTGTCATGCACCATTATGAGATCAACATTGCCCGCAAACAGTTCACCTCGCCACCATCCTGCTTTTACGACCTGTCAAGCTTGCGGACTGTTCGACTTAGGCAGATTGCATGGATGCGTTGTCATATCAGATGCAGGTTTTCAGGTATTTAGAACAGGGTTGCTGTCGGGCGAACCTCGCATCAGACTCTGGGTATGATGTTTCATCGTCGACATGGCAGATGATCTGGAGATGGAGCAAATGGCTGTCCGCCCCTGACTCTCTGGCTTGGACGAGCCACAAGTTTAAGAGAAGTCGAAGACATCGAGGCGGCTGCGGGTGGCTCAGACGCTTCAACGGGTTAAGAGAAGGTTCTTTCACATCTGCAAGAAAGGGACGCCCTGAAAACACAAATGCATCTGACCAACCTTAGTTGGGAACTGCATGAACGGCAGCACGTCTCCCCACTAGAGGCTATCCAGTGCGGGCCTGCGTCCGGGTGTAGTAGCAATGCTAAGTTTTCAACAAGGTGGATGATTTTCATGGCAAAGCAGTCGATAAAAGTCTCGATGTTGTGGCGGCCATGTCGTAAAGTTCCAGTGACCAATGAAGCAACCAAGAACCCTTGTGAAATGCAGAATAGGACGAGGAGGGAGAAGAGAGAAGAGAAAAAGTTCCGAGTTTCGAGAAAGAGTTGATTGTCTCCACGAGATCGCCGCATGTGGCATAGAGTTTAATAAACAACCTGGTGTGTGTCGGGCGCCAGCATAACGGGCAGTCCCTCGTACTGCGTCGAGCATATCTGCTTTCCAGGGTTGCCCTTGACACCTGTTGCATCAACTTCGGCATTGTCCGACTGCGTTATTTTGCGCCTAGAACCTCGAGAGGCCTGGCCAAAGACCACTCCCGCATCGCCTTTGCTGATTCATGGGGAATCACAAAGACCGGGTGGATGGGCTTGACTCCCGTTCCCGCTTCAAAGACCTTACTAGAATCGCTCTCGCTAGGGACTTGGGCTTCCCAGAACTGCCAGGAAAAGGCTGGACCAAATGGATCGTCGCTGTGGGAGGTTCGATAGGAATGGGAGTGTTCGACTATGCTGAGTCCGGAGAGATTGTAACAAGTGTGGTACGAGTCTGGCCTCCTGTGCAGCGCTGTTAGTATGTATGCTTGAAATGAGCTCTGGGGACAACTGACTTTGATGGTTTGTCCCTAAGTCCACCATCACTTGCCTGACAACAGCATAGGATATACCTTGCCAGCCCTTCACCACTGTACAAATTGTCGCTCACGTTCCTCGCTTTCTCATCAGCCGAGTCTCGAGGACCGCTCACCGCCGCTTCTACCAGAGGCCAGCAACCACCCAGCCAGTGGCTATAACAACCATCCACCAGTTTATTTGTGCGGCCAGCGAACCCTCCTTCAGGCGCATATTGTCGGGAAGAGAGCCACCATACCAGTGCATCGACATCAAGAAACTTGCTAATTGTTTCGCGCGGTGGACCATATAGGCACAGACAGGCAAGTGCACAAAAGGTGTATGATCCGTGCGCTTCACCTCCTGGTGACGCTGCAATTCCACCCTCATAGGTCTGGCAGCGCGAGAGATACTCCCCGAGTCCATCCTTGAAGGTTTTCAGACCTGCAATACGAGCCGGAGATTCAGGAGGAAGTGAGAGAGGAAGGTTGAGAAGTGAAATGGCAACCAAGGCACACAGAGCGCCCCGAGTATCTTCCTCACCTCCTTCACATATCCGAAAGCCTCCATCTGTCTGCTTGAGCCGCCCTAGCCAGTGCCACATCTTTTCACGATCGATAAGTGAATATGCCTCTTCGCCGCCGACTAGAGCCAGAGACAGTAACGCTGCATAGGTTCCAGCTTGGTGCGCATCTTGACCAAAGCCACCACCAATGCCGCCGTTGGGGTGTTGCATGGGATAAAATGTTTTGACGACTCTGTTAGCACTGTCAGGCCACCGTTTTGTCATATACCCGAAACATGAAGGATCAGGGAGAGCGTAGAGGGCATATACAGAACAAGTGTTACCTCGAGCGGAATACTGTGATATCTTCACCCAGCATGTAAAGTCCTGCTAAGCCCCAGTACACCATCCAAGGACGACTTGCATCCATACCAACGAAAGGAGCAGGGAATTCGTCCAAGTGCTGGTTTAGAAATCCAATGTGCGCTTCTTTGTCTAAATAAAGCAATCCAAACTCATTGAAATCAAAAGGACTTCGGGATGAGTCGTTGATGCCATTGAGGAGAGGCAAGCACTCGCTCATGGTTTCGTTTTGTATGGTAGATGTTTCGGTCTCCAATGTATCGAGCAGTCGTGGTGCTTGGAGGAAGTATGGGGGTATCTGATGGGCGCCATCTTCCATGGTGGCCATGACAAGGTTTGAGGTAGACTCGAGGGCGCAGAAGGTGTGAAGGTGTAAAGGTGAAGTCTTGAATGAAGAGAGAGATCAAGTGTTCCCCCTCAGTGCACATACCACATGCTCGTCACAAAGGGGCACTCTGCGTGTTGGTATTGTTGTCAAATTCCACGCTGTTGACGAGTGTCGAGCACTTCGGGACAACCACAACAGTTGCCTCGCGCTTTCCACAGCAGAACTGGGCTTGAAAATCGAATTTGAACAAAGCGAAGAGCTTGTCGTTGGCTAACTTTTATTCAGTCTCGTCTCACTTCGAGATAAAAGCGAAATTGACATTGATCGTTGCGGTAGAACTGACTGCGGGGTAATTGTCAACAAAGGAGTGCAGCCACCCACCACCAAAAGGCTCTCAAACCTCGCCAATACCAGCCTCAGCACCTTGCCCACCGTCGACTTGTTCATGCACTCAACACATTATATCCAGCTTCACCCTATGTACTATGTTTACATAAGGGGCAAGTCCACTGATACAAAGCTCACAACTTCGGAATCAATCTTCCTTCACCCCCAAGGCTGGACGTACAAACCCTACGAAGCAGGGGTATCCCGACTTGGCCAGTCCACAAATACCACTGGCCACGAACCTCAAAGATCGAGAAGATGCGGTGTTGCCCGACGTGGTCGGTGACTGGATGGGTTTGGTAGGCATTGTCGGACAAAGACCATGGCTACCCGTTGTGTGGGTTCACCGTCACAATCTAGGAGCCGCACTGGATTGAGACAGCGATGTCCTCCATGTCTCAACATCTGAAACGTCGGTCTGTCACCAACCTTTCTCTTGAACTAGATTGACATATCCGTGGGGGAGACTCCTATGTCCTGTCCTTGAAATCGCCAGCTGGAGCTCTTACCCTTCAGGAGCAGCAAGAGCCCGGTGGCTAGCCACAGGCGGTCTCAGAGCCTACACCGCTCTTCAAAGAGGAGCCTGCCCTCGTGCATGGTGTTCAGCTTGCGGTCCTTAATATGCCGTTGTCTCAAGTCACCGTGGACCAGGGGTTATACGTAAACTTGCACATGCCGCTGGAGACAGCGACGAGGCTGCCTTTTGAGGGAACATACAGGCAAGGGAGGAATAATACAGATTTCTACAAGGACAACTTGTGTTTGGACAGAGAGGCGCAGCACAGATCTCGCCCTCTGAAGAGTTTGCACGGCAGACGCGATGGGAAGAAAGGACTTGCCCTGGCCGGACTAGCAATCAGCACCGTTGGTCGATGACATGCATTAGCGGTGAGCTTGTTTGTGGCATTGCGACATCTCTATGGTCAACCAGGGATACTCGTATTGTTGCGGTAAGACTTGGCTTGTGCCCTGCTCCAGTCCGCAGGAGGCTGGGGGCAATCATTCCAGGTGTCTTGAACCCGGATCCTGCACGGTAGACCAGCGCTATCATGGGTAAAAGAGAGGAGGGGATGGTAAAATTGATGTTGGCTGTCGAGACGAGCAGCAAGACTACTGTCTGAGGAAGGCTGAGAGGGAGCGGGAGCAGGACACGGGCTATTCAGACTTCATTGCCGCGTCGTTGTGCTGTGTCAGCGGTTGAAGAGGCGAGACTGGGGGATGAAGGATGGCAAACAGGGCGCAGCCACCAAAGGTCCTAGCATATGGAAATGCAATGATAACAACACTGCAATTCTTCGTTGCTCATCTCAGTAGTAAATACTGCGTTCCTCTCCTGTCTCTCACCTCCTGTTTTTCATCTTCTCTGCATGTTGTTCCTCCTTGAAAAGTATAGGTGTTCTGTAAGTACCGCACCGGAGCGAATCCACCGGCAACCCTTGTTTGAGCCCCGGGAAAATACGGGGCGGTCCTCGAGCTGCTACTGCTGCCAAGTGCCCGCACACGGTCCTCCTCAGTCCTCCTCGGTACCCAACTCCAAGTACCCGGACCGCCCAGTCAATCCCTCAATAACGACCACCGCCGAGAGCCCACCTGACCAACCAACGAAGCATCACATTTCTTAGGCTGGGGGGGGGGGGGGGGCGGCGACGGCGGGGTTCCTCAACAAAAGATATCCGACGCCAAAGAACGGAATACTCGGTACAGCGTCCCCTGAGTACCTGGTAAGTCCTCCCTCTCACACAATAATACCTCATCCTCACCTCCAAAACTGAAATCACCAACGAACTGACACAAAGACAGAGAGGGTATAGATAGTATCTCTCACAACTGCTCGTACCTCCTCGCTTCTGCCCAGTATCGACATCCACGACAGCGGTTGGCTGAGCGGACGAACAAAGCTCTACCCCCCGATCTCCTTCACCGAACTCCGTTAGGCCTCGTTCAAGTCAACACAAATGGGGCTGTGATTCCACCAGAGCGCCATCTTCCCATCTTCCCTCGGCCTGATCAGCCAGTCACCACGCGTCGGAAAGTCGGGCCCAGTCTTATCCAGTCCAACGAGACTTATCGGTTGGCCGCTTTTGAGGCCTCATCCTGCAGGCGACCTTTGGGACCTTTGGCTACCTTTGGCTCTCTTTGGCTCACCTTGGGCTCTGTATGGCCCCTCACCACTCACCATTGACCAACTGAGTGTCTCCAAGCACCACACGGCGATCCCACGAACCACTAGCATCGCACCGACAAAAACCCCGACACCCACATCGCCCGCTGCTACTCTTTTCCCGCTCTCTCGTGTTACCCCCGCCCAATTCGACGATCCGCAAAACCCTGCATGCGCTGCTCACCGCCTCTTCTTACTATCTCTCGCCATCGCACCTGACGCCCGCCTCTCAAGTCGAGCTCGTCTTGAGCGGTCACTTCCTGTAACTCTTGTCCTCATTCTCTTTCCTCTTTGCCTCTTTCTCTCGACAGCTCACTCCTGCTCTTACTTCACGAGGCCCGAGAGCGAGAGCATCAATCGACCAGTCTATCCTCGAGACGCCTTGTCCTCCAGATCCCGCATATCTTATCCCACGAGGCTGACTGTCTGACACATCTTGTCAACCATGGCGGGCAACGTCGCCCTAACCAGTGAAGATCTTGCCTATGACCTCGATTCCAGGAGCGCCTCGTTCTTCCGAAATCATGCCTGGTCTATACCAATGGACCAAGTAGCGGCCCCTCGGCCAGATCCAAGGAGGAACATTTCTCCCATCCAGACCAACAGCCATGGTCTGCGACAGACCACAATGGCAGAACATCCCATGATGGATACTTGGAGGTTCCAACAACAACACCAGCAGCACCATCAACAACCGCAGTCACAGCAGACTGCTATGGACTATGCCAATCCTCAGCAGCCGTACGATTTGCATTACGATGCCCAGTTTCACGGCATGTCTTTACACCATTCTCAGATGACCATGTTGCCGGTGTCGCAGGCTCCGCTCGCTCCAGGCTTATCGCTCGAAGCCACCTATCTTCCCCTCGAGTCCGGCATTGAGGGCATGCCTCAGAATTGGGCCGAACTTCAGAGCGAATTGATCAACTATACGACGACAGATGTTGGACTTGCCGTCTCACCGTATCATCAAATGACCAACTCTCCCACGGGCTCCCATCTCGAAGTCCTTTCGCAGCCCAGTTCCTGTGACGAACACGGGTGGACTATGGTTGAGCCCAGAACGTCATTTGAGTCCTACGAGCGACAATTCTTCGTTGATCCTAACCAGACTGTGCACAATAGAACCTTGTCCGAATCGTCATACTCAGACCTAGAACAGCATAGCCATGGCGCACTGATGTCCAGTCTCGACTTGGGTGCCTCCCAGGCTGTGTATTCACCAACCACCCTGTCAGATAGCGACTTTGAATACCCCGGGCATACTCACCGCCTGTCAATAGACCACAGCTCGGGCTCCATGAGCGTCAACCCTTCAGCCCTCGTGCGCCCCATTCCAATCCCCTCGGCCAAGTCGTCCGCACCGTCGATACGATCCCCCGGATCCCAAGGCTCAGCTGGCTCTCCTGGCCGCAAACCTTCCCGAAAGAGCCCCATGGCCGCCAAGTCAACAGATAAGGTTATGAAAAAGTCATCACCTAGTGGCAAGGCAGAAGGGGAGAAACGAGTTGGCCGAAGAAAAGGACCGCTCCGGCCGGAGCAACGGAAACAAGCCAGTGAAATCCGGAAGTTGAGAGCCTGCCTGCGATGTAAATTCTTGAAGAAGACCTGCGACAAAGGAGAACCTTGTGCTGGATGTCAACCGTCGCACGCTCGCCTGTGGCAAGTCCCTTGCACTCGCATCGATATCAAGGAGATTGGCTACTTTTTGAAGGACTGGAAGTTCGACTATGAGAGACACATTTCGCTTGGCTTCTCTGTGGGTAATATCAAGGGCTTTTCGGATACTGAGAAGACGCTATTCATCACCCATGGTTATGGTCATATGCTCCCCGTCACCGCTCGAGAAGTGTATGTCAGGGATGAGACATGTTTGAAGATGGATTGGATCGAGGCCAACTCATTCGCGCCCGATGGCTACGAAGTATCGACGGCCAAGCTCTCAGCTGGCATGGAAGGCATCTCGACGACCATGCTAAGTGATTACCTTGACCGACATATTGACGGCACTGGCACATTTGAGAAATTTGTGGACGATTACTTTGAGGGAACACCCTTCCTCTCACAAATGCTCAAGACGGCTTACCGGTTCTACTTCAAAACCGGATCGAAGATCATCAAGAAGGCTTTGAAGTTGATGCTAGCCTATAATTTAACGCTGCACATCACCATGGTCGAAGGAGTGCCAAGCGAAGAGTCTTTCGTTGGCAAAATTGAAGAGCAGACGTCCAAATTCTTCGGCAAGACGATGGCTCCCGTCATGATCAACTTCCAAATCAAGTGTGCCATGGCTGATATGTGGCGTGAGCTGCACAAGGACGTACTCGAAGAACTGTCCAGCCTATATTCGAGCGTGTACAGTGGAGACAAGCTCAAGAACTGGCCCACTATCTTCATCCTTGCATCAGTCTTGCTGGCAGTGTGGGAATGCATGCAATTTGAT